ACAATACGTCTGTTATTTTGTTAACAGGGATTTAATATTTTGTTGTTTAACATATGGCAAATTGTTTTGACAAGTTATATGATTGGAAATTGCGCTTCGGGCAATTCCGTTAAATTAACTGTCGGTTAAATTAACCTGAATTTGATCGAAGTCATTCTACGATTGACTTTATTCGATAAAATTCCGATTAACTCAATGCTCTACGAGTGACTTCGATCAAAGTCCGATTAATCAGTGCGGATTAACTTGTCAAGCAATATCTGTATTTTATCAACACGGATGGAATTATCGATTATAATTATTTATTGTTGCTTAACATGTGGAAAAAGAGATTAGATTAGGGAAATTAGATTATCTACTTAGAAATTTGGCTTTAGGCGGCTCTACCGGCTGAATTAACCGCTGATTAAGTTAATCTGAATTTGATCGAAGTCGCTGTACAGGAGATTTCGATCACATTCTGATTAACTTAATACTCTACGAGTGACTTCGATCAAAGTTCGATTAATCAATGATTAACTTATCAAGCGATATCTGTATATTTTATCAACATGAATAGAATTATAATTACATAATGGAAAAGAGATTAGATTAGAGAAATTATATATCTGTTTAGAAATTTGGCGATTCTACCGGTCGAATTTAATCGCCGATTAAATTATAATTGGAGTTTTATCGAAATTGCCGCCTCTCAGGGTGACGTCCGTTCTTTTCTTTCCCCATGGATCTCGACGAGTCCCTTTTGGGACGTGATATCGTTTTTTCCACACGCCGTTATTCTCTTTCAGTTTTCGCGGATGCTCTCGCGCCTCGCCGTATAGAACAGCTAGAGTACGCATTGCGCATCCCTCGTCACGAATGGTACTTAGCACCATCAATCATCTGCACTATTAGGATTCTCCCAGCGACCGTTATTGACAACGGAAGATTCGCAACTGTTAATGTTAACGTTACCTCGCCAACTCGCGGAGCAACGTGGATTACGATTGTCGCGTGTCTCGGTTGAAGTTGCGGAATTCGGTCGGGCGCATTAGCGCATAGATTTATTATATGAAAGTACATATACACACGTAGCATATAAACTGCTCAGCGGCGTGAGTCATCATATATCGTAGAATTCATCGTCAACTTGTATCCGTACCTAGAAGAATCCTCCTAGTAGCTGAGTACCTGGAGTATATCCGCTTTCAAGGATCACTTTAAGTCGCCTTTTTATTTTTCAAAACGGGCAGACAAGAGAGTGGCGACTTCACCCCAAATGTTACTCATAAACGACATAAATCTAAGAAAATTTAACGCTAACGTATTACAAATATATACAAATAAGATAAATATAATAATACAATAAATAAAAAAAGAATCGTCTGAAGTAAACCACGCGTGAGAAATGATCTTTCGAAGCATAAAGTTAGAGGAGGAATCTAAGAGAGAATCTTGACATTTTCGTGTCTCGTATAACATCGTGTGATCTATTGAAAATGATATATACTCATATCTTCCGCGCCATGGCCGCATGGGAAGGATTGATTGAAACAATTTTTAAGGACGTGTAATTTCATAACACGTACACTCTTTCAGAGCTTCGTTATATAACGCGCGATGAAGTCATTAGGGCGGTTATATCAGACATTAATGTATTTGTCGCTACTTTAAATACAGAAATAAAATATTTAGACATTTATATTCCGGTAATTAACGCCTCGAGATTTTCGGACACGCTTAGCGAAACATATATGCAGGGTGCAGCTTAAAAAAATGTTAAATGTTAACACTTATATGGAACTTGTGGAAGTAACTTTTTAAAGAAAAGAAATATAATAACGCACAAAATATCATAGTAATAAATGTATTTTGTCTTTAAAGAGTCTTTATTGGTTTCATCATTGTCAGTACCTTCTTGGATTCTTCTCCGGTGGCCTCCAGAGCCCCGAGGTACATTTCTTTGAGTAGTGTTGCAATCACATTTGCAACTTTCTGTCGAAGATTTTGCACATTGCGATGATGAACAATTAAGTGGACACTCTTTGAAGACAAAATACATTTGTTACCATTTTGTGCTATCAAATCTCTAAAAAAAAGTTACTTCCATATAAGTGTTAATATTTCTTGAGCACCCTGTAGATGAGAAATAATAATATAATAACTCTATTAAAGTGCAAATAATAAGAGCGTATAGATAGGCATTGAAAATAACGTAAAAGATTTCTCGCAGTTTCCTCTTCGAGAATTCTGGCGATTAGACCGTACAAATATACCATAGGTAATTAGAAATATACCAGGAAATATATATATGCGACACGCTGTGCCGCGGTTACCCCGCGATGGCGTAATCGGGCGAGGAGTCCGCACGAGGATGAGCACGAAAGGTCTCGCCGCGGCCTTTCGCCGCGCGTTGGAACGCGGCGAGGCGGAGGTCGCCGCGTCGCCGAAGCGAGACACACGGCGTGTTTCCACGTCGCGTGAAAAAAAAATACGCGTGTCTCCCGAAACCGACGCGGTCTCCGGGGAATGCGAATTTTGGTGAAAGGGCAAAAGCGCTTTCGACAGCCGCGTCGTTAGACGCGCGTTACGCTCCCCGGGGCGAGATTGCCGAACGTGGTCCCGCGTGAGTTTGCGTAACGTCGCTTTACGACTCCACGCGGCGGAGAAACGACGCGAGACGGCCGGCGTCCAGCTAATTCATGATTGTTGTTCGGAAAACGGCCCGGGGATTATTATACGCGTTGATAATGCCGAGGCTCGCCTTCGCCGTTCGAAGAACGGTCCGCGCGGCTCGAATCCATCTTGTTTTGCCGCCATCGTGGCGAATGAGAAATTATATTATCGTCGGTTATACGCGGCAAAACATAATTACCTTCGTGCAATTAGTACGATCGTTGCATTTAGACGATGGATGTTGCGAATAATGCGGTATAATGCGGACTTATCATCCATCATCTTACTTATCATATCGCACTTGTAATATTCGCGTTTGCCGTTGCGTGTAATCTTGTATCGCGCAGATTGAAGTATATATCCTTCTCGGCAACGGAGCGTACGAAAAACTGACCGAGTATTTCAATAATGGATTCCCAATGTTCTTATAATATTTTACATTTAAATATAAGCTTACATTTAAAGCATAGAGCATTCCAGCAATATCGCAGTAACTTTAAGGTATTCCGGTAATATTGCTGTACTATTCTGTACTATGGGAAAAACTTCAGCTTGAAGTAAAATCCAAAGCCGTTCGTTGCCATCTTATTGATATTAATATATTATTTCATACAATTTAATTAATTTTGATTAAATAAATTTTTTTAATTTAATATAATTTTATTTTTTCGGGATTTTACGCGTTCTTCAATGACGCGCGAGAGATAAACATTTTGCAAATCACGTTGAGTGATTTTGCAAGCGGAACAGGGAAACTAGATCACGTCCTCGCCTTCGCGGAGAAAAATCACGAAATGGGAGAGCCTTGGCGGGTGAGGCGATAAAGACATGTCTCTCTTAAACATGACCGATCGATATCACGTGTAATCTACGCGTGACTGCGTGTCGCGGTGTGACTCGCGATCCTCGGCTCCCCTCGATTTCTCTTGATATTCACGGCGTCAACACGTTCGATGCGCCGCGATGGACTTTGCCTTGCGTCCGCAAGAACCGACGATCGCAGGAATTCAACGATAAAATAAACAAATTCGATTTCTTGCCGCTCCATTCCGAGATTTTACATTCTGTCGGTTTCACGCGTATCTTCACAGATGTAATCAGTCGCGTTTTACGCGTATTTTATCAGACATAACTGCTGGACTTGTCACAGTTGGAAATATTTAAAACATGTTTAGATTGAGTATCATTAAAAAAAAGTAAAAGGTAATTTTATTCCTACTAGAAAATAAATATTTGGTTGTCACCGCGAGTGACATTTAGTTAGAGGAATGTCTGTAAACTTGGGAACGCAATGTACAACGGTAATGCATAGGCGATTTTCTACTCTCGTGGAACACGTCCATAAATATTTCATGGTGAATATTGAGAAATAAGGCACCAGGCAATAGTAATAGACGCACCGATATTATTTAGATCCGCGTGTATTCACAGTATAGATACAATTAGTCCTTAATTTAGGATCTTAACTTACGTATCCAATTCTTACAATATTAATATTACTAATATTAACAAATCATTCGTTCGTTACGAGATTCGATCGGTAGGCAACGCGATTTATATATTTCCGCTCAAGTTTTTCTGTACCGGCACGTTCGATCACCTCGGGGAAACATACGGCTGACGTTTTCTCCATCTCTACCCTATCCTGCGGAAAATCGCTCCATACGTATCGAGGCATGTGCTAGAATGTACCTAGATCGTCCGAAAATCGGCCGCGCGGAGAGATACTTCCGCGATTTTTGCAGCTCCGAGAACCGGCTCGTTACGTCGCCTTTCGCTAGACATTTCGAGCGTGCCTGGCATAGCCGCCCCACCGCGCGGCACCCAGCTACCTGTTGGCTAACTAAACGACACGACGTCGCGTCCATCCCACAACGGCGAGATTTCATCGTCGCGGACGCATCCGGGATTGTTATTTACACGCGTGACACCAGAACACTCGAATATCCGTCGCCGAAAACGATGACCGGGCTTCCGTCAACACCGCGAATCCAACTTTCACGTAAAAATATCGGCAATCTCCTGCTGGGATCTTACACAGAAAAAAAAGAATATTCGTGATTTGAAAATATCTTTAGTTTCAATGTGGAAAAACCTTTAAATGAGATTATATTGCGTTTAATGAAGAAAACTTGCTTGACTAAAGTCATTTTATATCGTTCAACCAAGAAAAAAGTTGAAATTCTTACAAGATTATAGATTTTTGTGTATATACGAAACAATGAACGGGTTAATTTGAGTACATAAGTTTTGATTTGACACTCCTTTTTTTCTGTGTATGATTTACATATTTTTACATCTAATAATTTCACGTGTGATTTTGACCTGCCGACAATCATATCTTTATTCATTCGTATAAAGGCGATAACAAAGCAATGTCATGTGTAAAAGTATTATCTATTGCCATTTTAGCAGGCAGTGCCAAAAGTTAAACTGGATTCGAAGTGTTCGCATCGTCATGTATCCATTTTGGGAGATTTCTCTCTTCCTCTCTCTTTCTTTCCCTGAGTTTCTTTCACCGCCGTTGAAAGTATCGACACGAATATCGTGAGCCTGTTACCGGGCTCGTTAATTATCACAAAAACGCGAACGTTGCGTCGAATAAGCCGCTTCCCTTAAGTAATTCAGTTCTTTTTGCTCCTAGATTAATTCTATTACATAGTGAAATACTTTCTGTTATAAAAAATGCAAATATAAGTGCCTTTTTTCTAAAAAAAAAAAAAGATAGACGAGGTAAAGCCATTATTAAAAATATGCCGCACAATTGTGCGTCAATTTGGTGTATAAATCTTTCTTTATACGACAAAGTGTTTCGTACGAACTATTACTGTAAATATTTTTATTGTGAATTAAATGAGCAACGGGTGATGTAAACGTCAAGTTATGCGCGCTTTGCGGTCGTTTTATCGAACTAACGAGGGCATAATCACGATAAATTATTTACTATTACCGTCTCCATTTCGTAACGTCAAAATAAATGATAATTACGAACCTGCTCGTCGCATCGTACAACAATGTACGTGCGTACGAGATATTTTCGCTAAAAATATCGAAAAGGCGCATCATCGCTTTGTAACCGAAAAGTTACTTGCTTCCGAAATAAATATATAATTTTTACAAATACGTATCTCGTAATGTCGGAATAATTTCGAATCGCAAGCATCTACGTGCATCTACGATTCTCGAGATGAAAGATATTTACAGCTACGTACATAAATAAATGCGAAGTCTACCGCCTTCACGGAGACGGCAGTAAAAATGCTTACAGTGCGATGAGAGAGTGTCGCCGAACTGCGCCGAAAGGCAGTTTCAACGAGTTACCAATTCGTCACCAGCACTTACCTATTTACAAATGCGTTTGCTGGCGACGAATTTCTTTTGTCGCGTCATCTCGCAATATCGTCTACGGAATAAATGCTCGCGCTTATTTTACCGAGTATCAGCGCGAGTATCGTTCCGTTATACAAATCCGTTAACTCTATATTTGTACAAGTACAAAATACCTACAAACCGAATATTTAACTACGTAAGGAAGACTCTGTTATTCAGTTCAAAATCGCAAAAAAATTCGTTCTAGGCCGGAGGATCATCGACGTGGAATTTCGCTCTTCTTCGGCCTCCTCTCCCGAATATTGATTCACCGTACTGCATGATGCTCTCACTGTTCACTATTGTTCCAATACGATGCGTGTAAAATCATCACAGCAACGAGTTTAGGACGGAAATAGGATGTATTCCCAGTAGGTTAAGCCGAACTTAAAAGCTCTCTGCAACAACAATGGGTTAAGGGTAAGGTGACGGGTGTATACGTGTATGTATTTAAAAAGTCAACAAAGACCAGCAATTTAGACAGGAAGTACGCAAAGTCAATTATAGCATTTAATACTTTCAAAAAGAAATTATTTAATTTTATTATTATTACCCGATTGAAAATTATCGCAGACCGTTATTTATTTCTCACTTATTTATTTCACGTACTCTCGTACGTGTGAAAAAATTATTATAAGCATATATAAGAGACGTATGGATGTAACTAGTGAAATTAAAATTAGATGTTCCTATACGGTCGTTATGTATTTTCCGGTAAGCGAGCAAATTGTTCATAAACCAAGCAAAACTCAACGTTAAATTGACAGCGATCATTATCCGGAAACGTTGACTCGTCGAGCAAAATGTTACATATTCCTAGCGTGCGTGTAATACGCAGGTAAGAAATCAGGCGTTTCCATTGGAGCGTGTCTCGTTCGCGGCATTCCTTTTGCGATTAATATGGTAATACTTACGTCGAAAGTTCCCTCCCTAGTAAGCCAGTTCCAACTAATCCGGTACGCGATCGACTCCTATTCAGTTGCGCTCTCCTTTCCGCTGTAAAATTAAAACAGGATTGAACTCGTTACAATAGGCTTGATAACTGTTTGAGAGAAATTTGCACCATATTAGTGGAATGTATTTTAAAAGAAGTTATGCGCTTTATAAGTTAGACGTTTGTTTTCTCGATAATTACTGCACGAAACAGGAACGGAACATTATTTTATACATTATTCATGTACCAACACTCCAAGAATATATTCTTAAAATAGCACAATTTACAACACTGAACGTAGCAAGGAAAACAAGATTAAGACAAGCAAGGAACTCATTACTGCATTTAATTGCAAAAAAAATATATATGTGTATTTTTATACAAAACAATCTTTGGTACATATTTTATCGAAAACTCGATTGTTTTGTGTCACACTTAAAATTTGAAGCCAAAACAAAAATACATAAATAATCATAATAATCATTTAAATTTTTACAAAGCAACGTATTAAAGAAAATATAAAAAAAGTAATTTTAATATCACATTACAATCATCAGTATCACGAAAAATTGTAAAATTTTCGTTTACATATTCACCTACATCTCATTGAACTTTGTAGTCTAGATACATACTTAAATGATCGGAACGACATGGCAGAAGAGCATTTTGATTTTATCTTACTATTTCTGCAGTAATCAATAGAATATTTGCGTGCGTCAAATACGTACTTAAAACTCAAGACCAAATATTTTCATTACAAATAATCATTTCTCGTTTGTTTAAAGAATTTGATATATTAATTAAATAAAATCCTATGTAAAAATATTTATACACTCTATGAAATATTGCAAATTTTCAGATCCTTTATAGTATCACAAATGTCGTAATTATCAGTCTTGAATAGTTCGTACGGCACGTAAAATGTAATTACAAATCCATAGGTAAGCAGAAGTTTTATGTATTGTGTACATCGCATCGAAACTATACTTGAATCAACTTGCTAGTCTCAAAATAAATAAAAAAGTATAAAAAAAATCACTAATTAACATGACTAGTGCAAAATAATTCTTACATTGTATCCTTAAATATATAATCACGCAGAATTATATTTAAAAAATATTAAAATGAGAACGTCGCTTATTTTAATAAAAAAAATCAAATGACTTCTAGAATATGCATTTTAACACTTTTTAGAGCAAGTTTCTCCATAACAATAGAGTTAACAAGATTTTTTTCTCGTCAGTCTTTCCATTTTCAGCATCAGTCTTGTGTGAATACCAAAGCAGCATATAATTCTATTAAATAGTATTTATCGGCATTTGCCAAAACTTCCATTTCTTTTTCCATGACTTATCCTTTGATTTTCTCGATGTATTATGATTAATATTTGCATCTGAATTATTTTCCGGAGCGAATTGCTTGTATGTGTTTGCAAGTAGTCCAGATGTTTCCCCGGACACATTTAAACCTTTTCCAGCAGCACGAACAGAATTTGACGGTAAGACGTTTATTAAATGCAACGGACTATTTTCCGATAATAACATAACTCCACTTATCTCTGACACTAGCGGCGACTGCGCTTTAGTTATCGAACCGCTACTCGGAAACTGAGTAGATATACTTGAGTTAAAAAATCTTGAGTTTCTCAAATCCCGTATATTATGATTCTCGTCATATGTCAGATTTTCGAAATTTTTCGATCTTAAAAGTCTCATCGGAGCGAACGGCGATCTGAGTGTCTTAGTACGAAAATCATCGATCGATTTTGACATCTTTTCATCTATAGAATTCGCGCCAGGCGTGTTCACGATCGGTGGCATAGTGATACTCATACTGGATGGACTTTGCAAGTAAGTGTGCAGCCTACGACGCTTTGTGACTGTGTTGCTTGCACGTATACGTTTGCGATTCGATATGGTGCGGCGCACAATGCTGTTTCTCTTACGTATCTTGCTGACTACAACGCGCCTTTGCTTAACGGGACTAAGTATACACGCTCGATTAATAGAAACGTTTCCATCAACTAGCGGACTCAAGTCCGATTCAGCATTAACGCATCTGGACTCCAAGTTCCTGAATGTTTTTAGCAAAATATCTCTTTTCGGTGTCTCTTCGAACACCGGCATTGCCGTGTAATACGCGCGATTACAGCGGCTGCACAATTTCTTTTTTTGAAAGAACGTGACTCTGGACGAATGCCTCGTCTGTCTAGGCGTCTTTTTGGCCTCGTCTATCAGTATTCGCTTGTACATTTCTTGATTTTCTTCTGGCGTAAGGAAGTTCGATGAATCGTCCGCCGCGCGTATTCCAGCCATAATCCTGCTTGGAAGCATATCGCGTCGCATAATTTCAGTTGGAGTTAAATTTTCATTTCTGTTTATTAGCTTAGCAGATTTATCTAAAGTATTACTAAATATGTATGCTTGAGCTGCTTGGTCCTTCTTCACCATTTGCCTCTCGATGTACGTCCTATACAACTTACCACCAGCTACGCGGGTTTGTCGTTTGCGTCGTTGGTCTGGTCGACTGAAGGCCGATCCAGTCTGCAGCGCTTCCATCAGACTATCCATGACACCTTCCTGCGTCTCGTGCGCATTCATATCGACCAATGCGCGTTTACGCGCGGCTCGCGCCGCCTTTTCTACTTCTGCTTTCTCGCGTGCTTCTCTTGCCCGTCTCTGTTTCTCCTCGCCCTCCTTCAGCTTCATTATCTCCCTCTGCGATTGCTACGGTGAGAATATATAATCGCGTTAGATAGCGAGTGGATAGATTGCGGCGACATAGTCCGAATTAGCTCGTATTTACCAAGAAATCGTCTTTGAACGTCTTGATATCGCCGAAGAATTCCTCTATGGTGTACTTCTGTTTGTCGAAGGAGAAGAATTCTGAGATGTCCGTGTACAAAGTGTCCATATTTTTGAACATATTCTGTAGAACTTCGTAAGATTCCCTGGCTTTCTTGGCGAATGGCTGTAAAGTAGCTTCGTCAAGGAAATACCTTTGTCTGATCAATATGGGATCCAGGCGATGTTACCAATCGTTATTAAGAAATAATTAGTAAAGGATACTCTCATGACATCTGCAAACAGGTCCTCATCGCATTGCGGAACTTTGGCATTCGTGAGATCCTGTTCGAGATTACGGATATTGGTCTCCATTTGACGTAACGTTCTCTGAACGTTCTCTAAAGACACTCGACTGGCGCGATCTACGTGTGCTAGTTCCTCGACGAAGCTGAGACATTCCGGAAACTTTCTCTCTATCGTATCCACCAAGTAATGCATAAGAGTCTGTTTGTTATCGATGTCTTTAGTACTGGTCAGCTAAAAAGAAACAAACATATCGTGAAACGGCATGAAGAAAATAAGCAATTCGCGCTACATATACTGCAGAACAAACCTTTGTAAGAAAACTTATCTCGAATCCGAACGCTTGACCATTTTTCGAACCGGAATTCATATAGTTTCCGAGTAACAATATTAATTCGAGAATCCGTGCGAACTTTTTGCTACTCTTCACTTCTTCGCATGCCGCTGTAGCCGCTACTATGTCAGGTTTTATATCTTGTACCAACTCCTCGTATCGCAGCATAAAGCTTAATGATCTCAATCTGGGTAATAACCTTTTTATCGTAGATATCTATGACATTAATGTTTGTAAATTTCATATTCAGAATGAAATAAAAATGTAGAAATTGTAGAAAAAATCAAGTAAGATTACCGTAACACAAAATTGTTCCGCTTCAGTCAAGTCATCGTATTGATCTTTGTACATCTGTAACTTCGACAATTGGTCCGGCGGTGGTAAATACTGAATTAACCCTTGTAATATATTATCAGAAATAACTGGTCCTTCGCATCTAAATAAACATCTTTTCACTTCTACATAAGGCATGTGCTTTAGCGTCCCACCGAGAAGTATCGATATATTTTGAGCTGCTTTACTGTCCAAAACTTTAAGATCCTTTACTTTTTTCGTTGGGGCTGACCTACGTGTGCGAAAAATTGATTTATATCCTATATATCCTATATATATACATGATATAAAAATGTAATAATTGAAACTGAATTTACTTATCAACTACATCATCCATTCTTTTCCCGCTCGGTTTCGATGCAAACTTTTGCGCAAGACCATCCAATATTTCCGGACTAGCTAATCTATCTTCTTGTACTTTTGTCCAGAAACACTTTTGTGTCAATTTGTGAGGCAAAATCTGAAATATCATCAAATTTTACGTAGTAAAATATATGTTATCTTAAAAAAATAGTTAATATCTAAATCAATATTATATTTTCTGTCAATAACAATTTGACCAAAATAGATCACACATACCGCTTTCCAATTCGCTCTCTTGAGTGGAACGTCTACTTCCCACTTCTTTTTCGGTTTTAACCCATGAGGCAAAACTTGTACCGCTGGGGGTGGTGGAGAGAATCCCCCCATCATCGGTGGCGGTGGTGGGCCCATTCCCGGCATAGGTGGTGGTGGAGGTCCCCCTCCCATACCAGGCATAGGTGGAGGCGGAGGTCCTTTTGAGCCAGGCATAGGCGGCGGAGGTGGACATGTCATTCCAGGCATCGGTGGTGGAGGTGGACCACCACCGCCAGGAAGAGGAGGAGGTGGCGGCGGTGGTGGTCCGCCGCCCATTCCGGGCATAGGTGGTGGAGGCGGACATACAGACCTCTAATCATATAATAAAACATTATTGTTAAGATTGTTCAATTTATGAAAGTGCACATGTCTTAAAAAAAAAAAGATTCAATCGGTGTAGATACTTACGGGACCACCAGGCTTCCCCGTTCCTTGCTCCAGTTCTTTAATCTTGTTTTCTGCATGCTGAAGCTTCGCTTCGGCTTCTTGTCTACTAGCTATAGCTTCCTCTAACTTTTGCGTCACCTCCACCAATCGGCGTTCTTCCTCAGCCCGTGACTTTTCGACTAGGGTATCGATTAACGGTTGTACGTCAATCTGGAAGCGCTTTGTCGCGCTGAAATCCGGATCACAGCCTGAACGATGCAACACAATTTGCGATATACACTCCTCGATCAATTTATAATACGCCGGTCTAAAAAACAAATAATAAGAGGAAACAAAAAATAAATAAACAAGAAGTTAGTCATTAGGGATATAAACGAATATTATAATTATTCATTGACAATATCGCTTTAGTAAAAGTAAATGTAATCGTGTATATACTTACCGAACTAGAGCATCATCTCGAATAAATAAAAGATGTTGAAGTATAGATAGGAAGTACGGCTCGGCGGAAGTATCCATTACCATGTTTTTGACTACTTCGAAGCAATCATTAACGTCGTCTAATTCTAAGCGTACGTTGTCAAATCTCTGTACAAATTCCTCATAATCCTCCTCTTTGTGATCATTGAAGATCTTCAAATGCGTTGCCAAATCTTCCGACTCATCTTTCTCTAACATCTCGAGAATATCGGCTAGACCTACTCGCATTACCTCGTTCCTCAGATGTAAACGAAAATCAAGGTCTTCCGCGGATGATATTATCGAGTTTATGAGTTGAAGACATACTACCTGCAGCATAAAAATAAAAAAGATATTTTTATATCAAATTAATTATTTAGACTTTTTGTTTTAAAGAGACATGTAGTGACTCGTCAAGGATTTTTACATGTACATATTGCGATAATTCGTCGTTAAATCATTACAAATTTAGTTTTTTTACTTGATTTGATCATTTATACAAATATTGTTTGACAATGTAATAAAATTATTGTTGCATTTCAACTGTGCATATAAAATAGTATTCCTAAAGTAAAACATTGCGTTTTTTATTTATCCGTTTTGTAGGAAAACAAAATATTATTTATACAATGATTGAAATCACGTGAGTCTCTAATAAAGAATAGATAATGGAATAAGCAAAACGTACCCTTAAATTTTCATTCTTCTTGTTCATCAAACCCTGTACGATTGGCAGAAATCTTTCACGACCTTTGAACTCGCCGTTCATAGTAACCGCGTCCAAAACCTTTTTGTGACTATCGCTGGATATGAGGCATACCGCGCCGAGTAACTTTACAGCTTCGGACATTACGGACGGTTTCGTCGGCTCCAATGATCTGGCCACGATAGTAAGAGCCTCGTGATGCGCCAGCATCTCCTTTATACCAACAGTATTGTTCATGATAGCCTTTAAACAGCGAATACATTCGTATTGTATCCGCTCGTAACGGTTGTCACTAAAAGAAAACAAATTTTTCATTAATAAAGAAAAACTTGGGTCTCGTGATAAATTCTGTCATAAGCAGTATGGGTCTCGCAATAAATTCTGCCATAAGCATCATGCAAAACCAAAGTAATAATTAAATAAAAATTAAGAATGTCTTATACTGAGCAGCGTAAATAAAGTAATTCTCAAATTAAACTCTTTTGCAGTATATAGAAATCTTATAAAATTAAACGATTTATATTGTTACATAACAAAATTTCATTCATATACATATAATGTAAGCGATTAAGAAATATTCAACATAATAAATATCGCAAAATGACATTCAAGCGAGTAGTACTCTTACATGAATTACCTATCGTAATATATGAAGGCACTGTAATAGAATAATATCAATGTTAGAATAAATTGTACATTCAAGGGACGACCTAAACGTTATGGAACACTTTATTCGAGCGCTTTATATAGAATTCACTTACTTTCGGTAACATTCATTGAGAGTCGCCAGAACCTGCTTGAGACCCTTGGTGCCGAACTCTTGTACCCAGCTAAGCGGATTATTAGTGAGCGCGATCCTGAGGGACTCGATGCAGCTGTAGATCTTGTTGACGCTCAAATCGGGCTGCGCCAGGTACTGTATGTAGTCCGCCGGTTTGTCGAATTTTGATCGGTTGTCCTGAATGCTACCCTTGTAGTGCAACACCAGCATCTCCTTCTTCTTCGACTCCGATTGCTGGCGCAACGGCTCCTTCTTCTCCTCCGTTAAATTCATATTGGCCTGAACAGAAAATTAACGATAATCTTCTACTCTTTCAAGATACATACATAATTGCTTCATATTATTTAATAATTGTTGAACATCCTGCTTATGTGTCCTATCGACACAAAATGCATATAGCGAAGAAATGAAGAATCGACTGCATATCTCAACGCTACCGAGAAAAAATATGTCTATAAATTATCGGAATATATAAAACACATGTGTGCGGCGTGTACGCACCAGCATTTCCTCGAATCTATCGTTCACCGTCTCCTCGTCCATCCTCTCGATGATACAACGCTGTTGCTCGATCTCGTTGATATCGTCGCCGGAGTGCGGCCTGGGCATGGTGTTGCTGCCCGAGTAGCCGCGCTGTCCACGTATCCCGGGCTTCTTCGGCCGGCCGAACCATGTGTCCAACTGCAACAATCATTTTAACACGCATTTCAGTTTATCATTCATCAGAATCAAACCGTTGGTTTTAATTTCACGCGAAAGGAAAAGCTGTCTTCGAGGAAGAATATCGCTTTCACTATCATTATACTGATTTTCTAGAGCACCGCATGTGCAGTATTCGGATTTCTTCACACAATAGCAAACGCGTCTGCATAATAATAAGATGAAAACTTCGATGTAAAACAAGGTTTATGGAACGTAGAAACTTCGGCGAGCGCTCATTGAAGATCTAAGAATTTTTATCTGTGGGAACAAATATCGTATGCGGAATACACGGGAGCCTTGAGACTGGAAGATCCACGGGAGCTCGGGGTTTCAAAGCCTCAACGAGAGAGCGACGAACCGTAAAAGCCGACGTTGACACGAATCCGAGTAGTCCGCGGCCTCGAATCGAGCGCAAATTCGATCGCGGTCCGCGCGATCGTTTCTGATAAAACTGCATTCCGATACCCGAGTCCGACGAGTAAATATTTTCCTTCGCGCGGTAACGGAAACGAGTTTGCGTTTTACGATGATATAACCGTCCAAGCGGCGACTCATGCTCGCTCATGGCTCATAAGCTACGTGCTCGGAAGCACGTCAAATTTTTTCGAGATGACGCGAAATCTCGCGCTGGAGCGCGCTCCGGAGCTGGAAGCAATTATCCCGTCCGCTTACCGCGAGATAACTGGACACGCGTTTACGCGATACGCGGCGACGGCGTTGCGGAAGAAGCGACCGAACCGAAAGATTTGCCACGTCGTCGTCTGGTCGTCTCCTCTTCACCGCGGTTCAACTCCGAAGGCTAATTCCGCCCCGAAATCGAGACCCGATCGGCGTGACCGGAGGCCACGAATCGTAATAAGCAGGCAGGACGTGACACGAAGTAGCACACGCGTGAGAAATTAATTACTATCATTATAGATTCTTCGGCTGTCCGAACGTTGGGTAATAACGACGACCACGTATACGCGTAGATCATCATTAAGTGATTACGGTAAACGTTAACGTTCCTCGCTAATGTCGCATACGAGAAAAAAGAACTTTTATCATTAAATTAATGAGTAGCACGTCAACGTGGAATTTTGGCGTACAAATTCGCGGCACACAATGTTGCAAAAATTCCGTAAAATATTTTATCATCGACGAGGCCTACAGCAGTAACGCGATTACAATATAAATGATGACGTCGATCCCGCGCAAATGTAAAAGTTGTAATTTTCATTTAGACAGTGGAAAATAGCACGTAATGTCGAGAATGACAGAGCGTCTTCACGCAATTAATTGCACAACTAATATATAGTCATGACTATTGCGCAAAAACTGAAAACGCCAAGCGAGTGATGATGACAGACATTAATGTGTCAAGATTCCCCTTATTAATTTTCATTATTTTCTTTCCCTCCAACGCGGTCATTAAACATGTCCAAGATTCAAGTCTCCAGCTCATTCGGTAAATAGAGGCAAACGAACGTAGACCGACTTTAAAATCTTAATTTAAAATAATTTAAACTCTTAACTTGCAAGAGCTATATTGTTAAATATTAAAGGATAAAATTTAAATATCTTGAGTTAAATAACATTTTGTTATTTTTAACTACCATGTGTCGAAATTTATTACTTTAACACAAAACAGTATTATTTTAACTCCATTGCTTTAATTAAATTAACATTGTTTTAGTTAAATTAACAACATATCGAGTAAGAGCAGTGGCGACTTATAGGAATGGTTGAAAACTCAAATTAAGTATACTTTAACACTATACGAATTTAACAGTGTACATACAAAGCTGTGAGAATTGCCAATATTTTCCGATTTAATTTCAGTACGAAAGCCACCTCTTTTTTTATGCGAGAGCTACACTGTCAAATATTAAAGAATGAAATTTGAATACCTTAAATTAAATAACATTTTGTTGTTTTTTAATTACCATGTGTGTCAAAATTTATTATTTTAACAAGTATTATTTTAACGCCATTGGTCTAGTCTTAAATTAATATTATTTTAGTTAAATTAACGACATATATCTATATATATATATATGAATAGGAGCAATGGCGACTTACAGAAATGATTAAAAATAACTCAAAACGAGTATAATTTGACACTACGAATTTAACAAAGTAAATACAAGCTGTGAGAACTGCCAATATTTTCCGATTTGATCAGTCAGTACGAGAGCTTACCCAGTCCGTGATCATTGCGACGTGCTCGCGATGACACTTCGAGGACGATTAATTCTTCGACGAGTGACTCACATCGGACACGCGCGTAAGGTTCGCGAGTCCAAGCGGATTCGGACGCGTCGTGACGGACGCACCTTTATTTTTAGGCGAACCCACGCAAGCACGCGACACTTAATCACGCGTTTTTCGCAACTTTTTTTACGACGTCTCGAGGACGACGGGATGAAAAAAGAAACGACTTTTCCAGCCTCTGGGATGAGAACTATCGTCGGCTTTCGCGCACCCAGCAGCCAGCCTCGAAACGCTGTCGCGCTAGTCCCTCTCGGCGGAAACACCGGCTGACGTTTCCGCACAGGCGCCTACGACCGTGTAGCACTGTATATCCATGCATCCGCATTCACGAACCAGCGGAATAATTCAGCCGCTCGCAGTGAAACAGAACGATCGAACACGCGCGTTTCGAACAGCGATGTACGGGGAAAATGAACGTGTATATCCACGCGTGTACACTGATCATACACACGTATAACTGTACGTCGTTTCCAGCGGGGAAAATTAACGTGCAATGGGCAGAGTGGCCTCTCGATAAATGATTGTCGTGCCAGATGAACGTCGTAACTATCTCTAATGTTAGATTGATGAACTTCGAGAGAAGAATCCAGGAGGGTTCGAGGAATACCTCCTCGTTTTATCGAAAAAAAAAAAATCAGAGGGAGCACATCACGTTAACAATATATAAAAGAATATAGTACATATTATCCAAATATAATCTGCAGCAACATATTATTAAGATTCAGAATATGTACGGACAAACAAAGATATCTGCGGAGAAATATTATTAAAGACGCGACTCCAATCGCGACGACAGAGGAACTCGCGTTTGCGATTATTCGATCAATTTCAAGCTTAATATCGTGTTCACCAACAACAATAGCTTATTTATCTGAGGAATTCTCACGATAATGTCTTTCCCACGTAACGCACTACCGCACACACCCGCAGATTATCGGGGAATTCGAATAATGAGCGGGGAAAGAGGGAGACCTCTTCCCCGACGAGAGAACTGCACTTAGAGAGGAACGGCAACAAACTGACTGCGGCGATTATCGCCGGTCCACGACGCTCGAATGTACCCATCCCTTCCCCCATCGCTCCGATCTTAAACCGTGAGTTAGCGTTCGGACGAGATCATTTATTAAATTATTACCTGATGTTCGGCACGATAATGGCGCAACTCACGAAAAGTGATAAAGCAAACTGACCACGTAGTGTATTTCCTCGTATTAAAGACTATGCGCGGAATGTGGCACACACGCAACCCTCTCACTTTCTTCATTAATTAATGTAATTAATATGTTGCTGCCGCGTAATTACATGAAACTCCAGTCTAATTTTTCCCGAAGTATAAACCTCGCAACTACGGCTATTACCAACATTCGTTTCATTTATAATTAATATCAGTTGTCATTATCCTCTAATGATCTTTACGAATTAGGCGTACGAATAAAATCTTACATTTTATTTAACTTGAAGTAAAAATCAAACAATTTCTTATCACAGATTTTTCGCACAATCACCGCGTAAAAAAAAAGGATTATCTTTAATACAAGGAATCGCTCATAGTGACACATTCCAGATTAAATCCAACACGACGAAACGATTCGCGACGCGGAATTACCACAATTGTAGAAAGTTCGCCGGCTAATCCAGACGACAAACTTCTTTGATCCTTCGCAAAAGATTACCGTCACGGCTCGTGCCTTCACGCTCGTGACGCATTCTACATTGTGTATTATTTCCGCACAACCCGAAGAATGTCCCAAGTTTTACAAATTTTCCTTCGCCTACCGATTCCTGAGTCAAGCTGCAGTCAATTTTTCTTACAAAATATTTGACAACTCATTTTTTTTACAATTGTTCAACATTTAGCAATAAATGTCCTTGTAATAAGAACAAATAAAAATTAAAAATAAAGTTTATGCTTAAATTAATTGCTCTCCTAAAACTTAATTTAAAATAAGCATTACTAACTTTGTAATTAGTTGTTACTCGAAAACAATTAAATATACTTTACATTAAAAAAAAAATATTAAATTGGGTAAAAAAAAACCATGAATAAAAAAATATAAAACCCCGAATCTTCGGCGCCCAACCGCGATTGTGTGGTCGAGCAATAAAGGATTCAAAGAGAAGAATCCAAAGAGAAGAAAGAGAAGAAGAAGATAAAAACAGAGTCCAAGCAATTTGTCGTGTGCCGAATTTCGGCGAGTCGCTATCGCGATTTCATAATAGCTGATCGATGACTCGTTATCCCGGCGTTATTCCGCCTCGCTCGCTCGCTCGTCCGCGTGAAGGTGCGCCCACCAGGCGCGCGCGTGCGTTATACAGCCTCGGTACAGTTAGGCCGTAACATAAGATTAACATAACGGCACCGTCGTGGAATTAAAGAAACCAAAAGGAGAGGAGATGGAGAGGAGATCGCGTCGGACGTCCCGGCGCGTACACTTACGGTACGCGCCCGTATCGCGGAACCGTGTCTTCTCCACGCTGACCGCTTATCAGCGAACAGGTCCGAGAGATTCGTATATGAGAGGTGTGTGCCAGTTTCGAGGGCCCTCTTTTCCGCGCGCAGCGCTCGGACCGATTCACCGATGTCGGCCAACGACGGCAGGTCGCGTGTGTAAATTGCGCGTGCCGAAGGGGATTAGGATTAGCATCGTAATAATCTAGTCTATCCTGCTCGCGTGCAATCCCTGTCATTAATACCACGATGCACGTAATCGATATCCTCCGTGTTGTTCTATCAATACCTCAATCAAGGCTGTAATTTTTTACGGGCGATTTCAACTTCTATATAATTACGTCACTCAATTTTACGTTCTCCCTATTCTGCATTATTACAATTGACGTAACTCGCCGAGACATTAGGGTCTTGATTTCCTACAGTTCGGTTTCTCTTCAATTCAAATTTCCGCGACAGGATGATGATGAGGAGTTCGCCGCGACAGTTCGAACAGCGACAGTTCTATTCGACGGAAGAGAGAGATCACCTCTTTGGACATAACTCGCAAGAAACTTTCTCCTTTATTTTCTCGCTACTGACGGTTATAATTCCAGTACGCGGTGTAGGTTTATTCTCGCGCAGCTGACGTCATGCTTCCAATGAGAAGATATCCCCCGACCCTTAATATCACTGTGTTTTCAATTTTCTTTGTTTTGACAACAAATTCGATACTCAAAGAAAATGAGCTCGCGTGATCGTCTTGTCACAATATTTTCGCCCGCGAGGCGGGATGTGTTTTGCCTCGACCTTCGCAACTTCATTTACTCCAAAATTATCCCGCTCCGAGATCGTTCAACGTTCAAAAAAGAAATATATAATATGAAACTCGAGGAGATTATTATCTTCCGATTGTATTATCTTCTTCTCCTCTCCACGCATTGGATTCTGCTTTCAGATTATTCAATAGCGTCTGCCCACACTTCCCGTCTCCTTTCACGCCAATCATGTGGTTGACCCCGACCAAAAGGATATATTGCCGTCGTGAATCATGCGGATCCTTGCGTATCGCGGAATGTGCCCGACCGACTACGTCACGGCTCCGAATAGACAAGGTTCCGACAGATTCGATAAAAAGAGGCACATCGTCTGACGTGTTGTTCAAACAGCACGGCTGTTGTGTGCGACTTACGCCTTTAAAGGATAATTTTGATGATACTTTGTTTTACCGTAGCAGTAATTAACTGTCATTAATATCTTTGCCAATATCGGAGAAATACTTTATCTCTGATAACAAGATACGAGCAGCATTAAATAAATAATATTCTCTGCTCTGTACAAATACTACGAGTACAATGTAACAATTGTGCGCGTGTATTTCGCAACATGTCCTAATTGTAATAATCTTAATAATATATAAATAAGTTAATTAAAATTACATATATCTTGTAAAAGTTATAACAGTAACAAATTGTTGGCTTCTCAACTGCAGATCTAACGCTTCGATGTTTGTTACGATTTCGGACAATTTAGAGAAATTTCATTTATCTGTATCAGCTGGTTAATGTATGTGATAATTGACGCGTTAAGTACTTCAAGGATTTATATTCAGCGATTATCATCGACATTGACATATGGCTGGGGGCTTCTGCCTCTCGACGTGTCGATCGATATACATGTTTTCTCGATTTCCCCTGTGGACCGCGATCGCGCGCTCGGTGTAAACTTGACACGAATTCGACATGAGATGTCCTCAGATGCCGTCGCATACACGCATATTCCGTAGATGGGCGTTCGTACTCGATAAAAAAAAAAAGCTGCCTTTTTCGTCCTGTGATCCTTGACGTTAAGGACTGTCTGTCGTCCGCAATATCCCGCATGTTTACACGACGAGAAACATATGCTCCGGACAGCGAGAGAGAGATCCAGTCAACAAGATCGCTTAACCATGTTACTCTCACATAATTAGAGATCCGGCTTCGCGTCACGTTGTTTACATCATGTTATATAGGGACGTATCATACATTTTATACACGGAACAAATACGCATTTACGATGTAATTGTCGTGAGAAAAAGACAAGTGTGTTATAAATGATTATACTATATAGAGCTTCGACTTACATATTGAAGCGCGACACGAATCTTGACAAAATTAAGAAATTAAAAAAAAAAGAGAAGAACTTCGCATGAGTTCCGCAAATTTTTTCGATATGCTCAAAATGCCGCTGCCGTTGCATTTTGGCGCGGCATCGCGTTACGTAACGCTCTACATACGCGAGCGTAAACGGCCACCTGTTCGATCGGCCGCGCCGTTGATGACCGCGCTTAAGTCGCGATTAAGAAAAATCTTCTCGACGAGCCACTTAACGAATTAATACGTTTGACGCGTTAATCGGCGGCTTCAATTCATTCTCAATTAACGCCGGAAGAAAAGAAACGAGCGGCCGCGGATGATCTCACACACTCGCGCGCGAAGCGATCGGGCGATGACGCCAGCAATCCGAGCGACCTTCTGCCGCCGCGCCGCGGCCGGCGCGCGAGAACGAGAGAGACCGAAACGGTGTCAGGCGAAATTCCGACGGGTATGCAGCGTGCACACGGAGGTCGAACACGATTCTTCCTTTTTCTCTCTCTCTCTTTCTCTCCCTTTTTTTCTTCTCCTTCGACCTACGCGCCGAGAAGATGATCCTCGCGGCTGAAAGGTGCGCCTTTGTCTCTCCGCGAGAGACGCATACCGGTTTAGCACCTCCGCATCTGTTTTTCCACGCACGCTTAACGCTAAATGCGTCTGTCAGATTTTGAAGCGTACCCTGCCTCTGTACGATAGCACGGAGCTACAATTACACGTTGTATATGCGCTTAAAAAAAAAGAATTAGATATCCCGGTGGTTTTATTTTCACGTGGTATCCTCGTTAAACAAGACTTTCATGGCACGCGAATTATAATAAAAAAAAAAATATGACTGCGAATAGAAATCAATATGCATTGGCAGCCGCCTTGCTCTCTTGTAAAATATTTCGCGTGTCGTGACACGAGACGCGAGACTGAATAAAACTAATGGCCATGCAAAAAGACGTACACACGACACGCTTCAATTTAGAAAGCGTTAATTGTACCAGGAATGTGTGGAGCTAGAACTTTATCAGTCGCGGCGCAAAATTGATGTGGAAAAATGCAATTTACTTTGCGCACTGTATATAAGCTATCTATACATGTTTGACTGTTGCATCAACCGTTGTCACTATTCACTGAACACTAAACGCTACGTAACCACCACGTATCGAAGAGTGCAGTTACCCGGTTTTTGCACCCAGAGGCTTTCAACGTGCGGCTAAACCAAACGCGCGAGAAAAGAATACTATCGTAGACTGGGCAAGGATGACGTTAACGATAAAAATTAACAATTCTAATCGCCGCGTGAAATCGCAAACTTACACGACGGTCTTTATATGCATGCTCGATGTGTAAGTTGCCAGCTAATGCGGCTCGAATTTTGTGCTGCATCTAAGGTTGACGATATCGCTTACGAGCGTGTGTTGCGCGTATCATCGAGCGTATATCGTTCTTTACTGAGGGATCGCGTTAAACCACGAAGCAGCGGTTCCCAACCTACTTACTTTATACGAGCAAAAATTCGCAAAGTATCACTTTAGCACTAACGTGCGCGTTGCTCCCAATTAATTCCACGCGATTTACGAAACTGGTATACGTAACGAGCACGTAATCTATTTTTACTGTTTATTTTAACTTTTCCCGAACGACAACGCGAAATAAAATTTTCTGTTTCCTGCGAAGTGCAGAGTTTGATAAACGCTGCTGGCGCGATAGCGGTTTTGATATCGCGGACGATTATCAAGAATGTGCTTATCAACGCGAAAGGAACAATGATGCGCGTCCAGAACATTAGCGAGTATTTCGAGCGAGAATAAGAAAAGCTGAAGATTGGATATAAAAATAAAAAGAGTGGCACGTAAAAGTAGGACGGTCGGCTGTCCACGTAAATGGTAGTATTTTAAATGTTTTCACTACAGTGATAGAAAATGGTGACAAATACGATAACACAACAGGAAACTCGACGTATGCCCACGTATGGCGGGTATCGCTACGGAATTCCTATATACTGGCAGGTTTTGTCACGTTGCGTGAAAAGTTTCTCGCGCGCTATTTCCTATTTTTTTCTCTCTTTCTCCTTCAATAATAACTTTCGTCTATTAATAAATAATAAAAGCGCGTATTTTATAGCTATCACGACGTTTTATCATTGCGACACGTCACGACAATGTGTGACTCATCTCGTATTTTCGGATTCAAAAATATCTATAATGTTTTTATGTTCTTTTAAGTAAAAAGAAAAATGTATACAGTTGAAAAACTTC